AGCTTAACCTCACTATCTGTCTGCATATCAAACATCTTAGGCATAACATGGAACAGGTAGTTTTCATCAAGTATTGATATATTGCACTTTAAGTCCCTGAAGAATATGATAAAAAATTTAAAAATTAGAATATATTTAAAAAATAGGCATAAAGAATTATATACTTCTTATGTTTACACATAAGTCCAAAAAAACTAACAATATACAACCTTGAAGCAGGACAGTCTGATAATATTCCTTTTCCTGTCTCTTGCTTTCATTCACCACCCCCTTCTTTTAGAACAACCACCTACCTGAGAGACATCATAGCAGCAACTGGCATGTCATGACAAGCAGCCTGTATTCAAAAGACCAGAATGACAGGCACTCCAAAAATGAAACTACTATTACAGTTACGATTTGCAGTGCAGTTGCTTAGTTCCCAGATATCAGTGTAATAGTCAGCGTGAGAATCTTTCCAATTAACTGCTAGATTAAAAAATCTTCTGAAGATTCTCAGGATCATTGCCTTGCCCATCTTCTACATATAACTGTATGGCTTGATTTATTCATGTTTCCTAGTTCTTCTCCTTTCCCTCTCTTAATTAGTTAGTCCTCGAGTTCTTGCTTTCCTTTTACTTGTATTATACCTTTGTATTTCTTCTTTTGAGTTCTTATACTAGGGAAACTATACGATATTTACACATGTATGTGTGGTTTATTTCACTTATGAGTATATGTTCAAGTGGCATCCACTTCAACACAAAGGCTTTGAGTGTATCATTCTTTATAGCTGAGTAATACTCCATTGTGTAAAAATACCACGTCTTTTTCATCCATTCCTCAGGTGATGGGCATCTTGGTTGTTTCCCAGATTTGGATATCACAAATTGTGCTATTATAAACATAGGCACACATATATCACTATAATATGATGTTTTCAGATCATCCAGGAAAAATCCCAGTAGAGGAATAGCTGCGTTAAAGGGGATTTCCAGACCAACTTTTCTAAGGAGTCTCCACACTGATTTCCATAACGGTTGCACCAGTCTACACTCCCACCAGCAGTGGAGAAGGGTTCCTTTTTCCCCACAGCCTCTCCAACAGTTGTTGTTGGGTGATTTCTTTATGATAGCCATTCTTTCTGGGGTGAGATGATATGTCAGTGCAAATGTTTTAAGTTTCATTTCACGGATGGCTAGTGATGTGGAGCATTTTTTCATATATTTATTCGCTTCTTTAATTTCATCCTTTGAGAAGCTTGTGTTTATCTGGGATGCCCATTTCTGGACTGGGTCTTTAAATTTTGTGGCCCTAGTGTTTTTTAGTTCTTTATAAATTCTAGAGAGCAGACCTTTGTCTAAATACTTATTTGTCATGATTTTTTCCAAATTTGTGGGTTGTCTTTTCACTTTGTTGGTAATTTCTTTTGACATGAAAAAACTTCTCAATAAGAGCAGGTCTCAGTTGTTAATTCTTTCAAGAATTTCCCGTGAGATTTGATTTTGTTCATGAACTCTTTGCCTACCCCTATGTCTTCAAGAGTTCCTCCTACTTTCTCTTCCAGGACATTTAGTGTTTCTGTTTTAATGTTTAGATCTTTAATCCATTTTGACTTTAGCTTAGTGCACGGTGATAGACCTTGGTCAAGTTTTAGTTTTGGCATGTAGAGAGCCAGTTTTTCCAGCATCATTTGTTAAAGAGGCTATCTTTCTTCCAGGGAGCATTTTTGGTCCCTTTGTCAAAGATAAGGTGGCTGAGTGTGTTTGTAGGGACTTCAGAATCTTCTATTCTATTCCACTGATTTTCAGGTCTATTTTGTTGCCCACACCATACTGATTTTATCACAGTATCCTTGTAGTACAATTTCAAGTCAAAAATTGTAATGCCTCCTGCCTTGTCTTTATTGACCTGGATTGCCTTTGCTCTTCTAGGCCTTTTCTGCTTCCAAATAAATTTTAGGCATGATTTCTCTAGCTCTGTACGGTATGTTGGTGGTAGTTTGATAGAGATTGCATTAAATCTGTACAGCAATTTTGGGAGTATGGTCATCTTCACCATGTTGGTTCTTCCTATCCAGGAGCATGGAATATCTTTCCATTTTCTGAAATCCTCTAGGATCTCTTTTTTAAGAGTACTATAATTTTTCTTGAAAAGATCTTTGACTTCTTCAGTTAGATTAATTCCAAGTTATTTCATTTTCCTTGGTGCTATTGTAAAAGGTATTGTTTCTATAATTTCCTTCAGTGTGTTTGTTTTCTGTATAGAGAAATGCTGTTGACTTTTGGGTATTGACTTTGTATCCTGCTAGGCTACTGAATTTCTGTATTAATTCTGGTAGCCTCTTGGTGGAGTTTTTTTGGTCTTCCAAATAAAGTATAATGTCATCTGCAGATAATGATAATTTAACTTCAGCAAAATAATCCAATATAGTGCAGTAATCTATAAGAGTATTGGGTTATCTGTAGGGCTGGCACTGTCAGAAGTTGTTGTCCAGTCTGGAATTTTTAAAATGAAGATTTATACTTTTTTGTTTTGTATTTTTTAGGACCGGATCTACAGGACATACAAGATCTCACTGCGTAGATTGGACTCATAGTGATCCTACTGTTTACAGCCTCCAAAATGCTGCAGTAACTGGCATGTGCCTCCATGCCCAGCTTCAGTTGCCGTATCAAGGCACCCGAAGGGTGCAGCTGGCAGGGCAGGCCCTGGGGATCGAACTAACTTCTGGCCCCTACATCGGCCTAAGCAGGTGCTTTAATCTACTGAGCTATTTGGCCAGTCCAAGATTTACAGTTTTAGATGATGAATGTAAAACACAAATTCAGGGAATGTTTGAAAGCCAAAAGATAGAAGAAAGACCAGGAAAATGCAAATAAAAAAGGTACATTTACATTATTACAAGGTAACAGAATGCTATGAAATTAAGATTTGTTTTAGGAAGAGACAGATGGGAGGGCCATTTGAGATAACTATAGAAAGGTTTAGTTAACTAGAAATGCATTTATATTTACATGCATCAATAAAATCACAATTTATACAGTAAGCACGGATATAATTACAGGCAAAAATTGAGAGTCTATGGTCATGTTAAGAGCCCTTGATGTAATTTTCTCAATTAGTGGTAGATCAATAGGCCAAATAATTAGAAAGATGTGACATATTTGGGCAATGTATTACCAAGATATGTATGTAAGACTCCACACTGCACATTGAGATACTATTATTTCATTTAATATTATGGGCTCAGAGTGCAACCATTTACTTACAGAAACAAGTGGCTATAGTTCTGGGGCTCAAAATGGTTCTACATATGTAAATCAATATACGTGATGCATATACTAACAGAATAAAGGATGAAAACTATAAGATCATTTTAAGAGTTACAGGAAAAGCATTCTACAAAATGCAATACTTTCAATGTTTAAAATAACTGAAGCTACAACTCTTGTTGCATAGGCCCTGCTTTACCTTGGTCTTAACCATCCAGTCGAAACATATAAAAATGAAATATAAGAAGTAAAGCCGTGGTGTTATGTTGAGCTGTAGGGGACTCAGGTCAACAATTTCTGACATTGTTAGTCAAGTGGAAAACCCAATACTATTATGAACTACCGGACTCTTTTAGAATATTTTGCTGAGTTTACACACCTATAATATTCAAATAACGAAACTAAACAAAAAAACGGTATACAGATGAATGTCCATTTTGTATCTGTGTATTCAAAGCGGTTAGGATAGAAATTTAGTTACATTCTCATAATGAATAGAATGATTTGTTCTAATGGTGTTTGTGAATAGAATATCATGTCTGCATCTTGTACAGCAATTAACCACTAGGAAGATGGTATGCAATGTGTTAATTATTGAAACTGTCTTACCAGTTTGACTTGAAACTGTCTCATTGCTATTTGTTTATCAATAAAATTATGGGAAAAAATTTAAAGAACAAAAAATAAAAAATAAAATAGAATAACTCAATAAATTAGGCATTGAAGGAATATTTGTTGTATCCGAATGTAAACAACTGAATGGGAGTGGTTTAGAAGAATCTCTCTGGGTAAGGCTTACTTTTCTTGGTTGTAGGGTAAGCAGTATTAATGAGGCCAATGGAGATAATTCAACTCCTCATGGTCTTCTGCCCAAGCTAAAGGTACATTTCTGGTTGACTGGCCATGTAGTAGAAAACACTCTGCCATTGGGACAAGGATGTGAACAAAGAGCTCCCATCTATGGAAGTAAGGCCTGGGGCCATGTGTACTCCCGGTGGGGAAGAAGAAGGTAGTCATGAGTCATTGTAGAATCCTAATGGGCCTTGCCTGTTGTTCCTGATGATTGTAGCTCAGAAAGTCATAGGGTTCTCTCAGCTTCTAGCCTCCTGTGTAAACCTTTCAGTTGCAAAATGCTCTTCATTTTAATACAAAGAACGATCTTTGCCATTTGGAAGATTTGGACAAGAAGGTAGGTTCTGGGTAGTATGGACATTGTAATGATGTTAATTCTTTCAATCCATGGACATAGGCTATTTTTTCATTTACTTGTGTTTTCTCCAATATCATTCATCAATGTTTTATAGTTTTTGGTGTATAGATCCTTAACAGCTTTGCTTAATGTTACTGCCAAAAATATTTTTTATAGTACAAATGAGATTGTTTTACATTTCTTTTCATGTAGTCTGGTGTTAATATATAGAAATATTACTGATTTTTACAGGTTGATTTTGTATTCTGCAACTTTATTAAATTTATCTGTCATTTCTAGCATTCTTTTGGGAGAACCTGTAGGGTTTTCTACATTAAAGCATGTCATCAGCAAACAAACTATTTTACTTTTTCCCTGCTTATTTGGATAACATTTATTTATTTATCTATTTATTTATTTTAATTGCTATGGCTGGGTCTTCCTGTACTATGGTGAAAACAAGGGGTGAAAGTAACATCTTTGTCTTGTTTCTAATTTTCCAGTTTTTCACAGTTATGTATAATAATAGCTCTGAGATGGTTACATGTGGTCTTTTATATATAATATATAATATATAGTACTTTGTATATTACAAATAGTTTAAATGTGTATTACAAAATGAAGAATATCTTTTTTTGGAGTCAGCATCTCTTTATGCATTTCAGGGTGTCCTTAAACTCACTATGTGGCCCAGGCTAGCCTGGGACTCACAAGATCCTCCTACCTCAGCCTCACAAGTGCTAGGTTTATCAGTATGCACAGTGATGCCCAGCTGTAGGTCTTTATTATATCAATATACATTCCTTCAATACCTAATTTATTGAGTTATCTTAAACATTGAAAGTATTGCATTCTGTGGAATGTTTTTCCTGTATCTCTTAAAATGATCTTATAGTTTTCATCCTTTATTCTGTTAGTATATGCATCACATATATTGATTTACATATGTAGAACCATCTTTCAGCCCCAGAACCATATCTACTTGTTTTTGCAGGTAAATGGTTGCACTCTGAGCCCATCATATTAAATGAAATAAGTCAGACACATAAGCTTAAGTATCACTTTTTTTTGTGATACTAGGGATTGAACTCAGGACCTTCCCCTTGCCAGGCAGACACTTGAGCCACTGAGCTATCTCCCCAGCAAGCTTAAATATCATGTGGTTTCTCTTGTATGAGAGACTACTGAATTGAGAAAGACAAGAGGGAGAGAAATAGAAGATAAATAGGACATAGGGAGATATATTTCAAATGATTAGGGGAATAAGAGATGGGGGAGGGAAAGGAAAGGGGATAGAAAAGATAATTGAAGAAAAATATGTAAATAGAGATTTAGCAAATGGGAAGGGAACCAAGAGTTGGAAGGAGCAGGGAGGAGGGGACAAAAGAAAAAAGAATTAATATGTATTAGTTACATGTACCAACTCTCCATAATAAGTGCAATCACTATGTCCTACAAACGTATACTAATGAAATAAAAAATTAAAACCAAATCCCATTTATTTATGATGAATATGTTTTGAAAATTAGTTTTTTAAATTTTTAAAATTTATTTGTTTTTATCTTTTTTTTCAAATTAAATTGGTAGGACAGTTTCAATAATTAACACATTGCATACATTCTTCCTAGTGGTTAATTGCTGTACAAGATGCAGACATGATATCCTATTTACAAACACCATTAGAACAAATCACTCTATTCATTAGGAGAATGTAACTATATATCTATCCTAACCACTTTGAATACACAGATACAAAATAGACATTCATCTGTATACCTTTTTTTGGTTAAGTTCCGTTACTTGAATATTATAGGTGTGTAACCTAGCAAAATATTCTAAAAGAGTCCAGTAGCCCATAATAGTATTGGGTCTTCTGCTTCACTGGCAATGTCAGAAATTGTTGACCTGAGTCCGCTGCAGCTCAACATAACAGCATGGCTTTGCTTCTTATATTTCATTTTTATACTTTTGTGCTGGATGGTTAAGACCAAGGTAAAGCAGGACCTATGCAAGAAGAGTTGTAGCTTTTGGGTCTGATAAGGTCAGGGAAATTCCCTCAGGATTTATCCTGAGATCCTGCACCTCAGATTGTACACCCTTCGTCAGTGTCAGCCATGTGGATGAGTCACGGCCATTTAGTTTTTATTTTTAAATGGACACACGATCTTTGTACTCATTTATGGGATGGGAGTACTATAGTTTGATACATGTACAAATTGAGTAATGAACAAATCAGGTTAAATAGCATTTATATCTCAGATAATATCATTTCTGTCTGATGAGAAACTTCAAACTTCTACTTCTTACTAAAGATTTAAACATAGATTTTATGTCATGAAAAAGGATCAAAAAAATTCTGTGTATTACAAAAATCAGTATTCTATAGGGGAGTGGTAATAAGAGCTTACACCACATTTTGAACTTATGTATTTTATTGTACAATATTCTTAAAATTGTAGTGCCAACATTTTGTTTTTTACTAAAACATTTTAATCCTTGAATCATTTTTAGAAGCATAATCATAATTTAGTCACTGGAAGTTTTGAATATATGTTAATCTGTAAGCATGTGTATGTACACAGTATATATGGATGTGTGTATAACTCTAATATATATTATTTAAACGATAATTTTATATTTTATGTAGTTTGACTATTTACATTTTTCTTCTTTATTCATTTCTATCATTGTTTCTTCTGTTCACTCCATCCAGGTTATGTAACAGAATAAAATCCATTTACTGCTTTCTTAAAAAAAAAGTAACTTCAAACTTCTTTTATAATTGCTTTGAAATGTCTAAGTAGTTGTAGATGTCAGTTACTCTACTATGCTAGAACGATTCCTCCAACAAGTGTATTTTGATCTCATTAGCCAGTATTTTTCTTCCTTTCTCACCTTCTCTCTTTCCTTACCTCTAGTGACCTCTATTCTACTCTTTACTTCTCTGTGATCAACTTTCTCATTTTCACAAATGAATGAGAACTGATACTATTTGTCTTTGTGTATTTGGCTTATTTCATTTAACATAATGTCCTCCAATTTCAGCCATTTGTTGTACATGAGAGAATTACAAGTGATCATAAGATTCCATTGTGCACATATGCCACATGTTTTTAACCCATTCACCCACCAACGCACTGTTAGTTGATTTCATAACTAGGCTATTGTGAATAGTGTCATAATAAACCCAGGTGGGCAGGCGTATCTTTAATATCATGATTTTATTCCCTTTGGTTGTACACTGTGGCAGTGGGATTGCTGAATCACATGATAGTTCTAATTTCTGGGTTTTTGGTCTGAATCTCCATATTTTTTCCTACAGGGGCTTCACTAATCCACATTTCCTTTTCTCCATATCCTTATGGACATTTTTTTATATTTTGACTTTTTAATAATAGCTGTGCATAATAGCTGATTTGTTTATGTTTTATATTATTACATATTATACAGAGTAATGGGTTCCATTTTAATATATTTATAATGCTTATGACATATGTAGACCATTCCTACCCTCTATATTTCCCTTCCCCTTTCCCTCTCCTTGATTTCCTTCCTCTTCTCTAATACTCTGCTTTCTACTTTCACATCATTTCCTTTTATTCCTTCTAGATTTCACATATGAGGAAAAACATAGATATTTGTCTTTCTGAATCTGGCTTTTTCACTTAACACAATAATTTCTAGTTCCATCCACTTTCCAGTAAATGACTTCAGTTTCTTTCTCTTTGTGGCTGAGTAACACTCATATATAATTTTTAAATCCATTCATTAATTGACAGATAGTTTTTGTTAATTGCACCACAGTAACTATCTGTATACAAGACTGTGTAATATGTTGATTTTAATACTTTCAATTATATATTGAGGAATGGTGAGAAAGCAGTTCTGTTTTTAGATTTTTGAGGAACCTCTCTACCAATTTCTGTGATGGCTCCAGTAATGTACATTCTCACCAACAATATAGAAGAGTTCCTCCTTTCCTTATGCCCTGTTCTAACTAACAATTTTATTTTTTGTATTCTTTTTTTTTTTTTTTTTGGCGGAACTGGGGATTGAATGCAGGCCCCTGCGCTTGCCAGAGAAGCACTTATTCCACTGAGCCATCTCCCTGGCCCCTATTTTTTGTATTCTTGATGATAGCCATTCTGACTGAGGTGAGATGGAATCTCAGTGTAGTCCTAGTTTTGATTTGCATTTCTCAAATGGCTAAAGATATTGCACATTTCTTTACATAATTATTGGTCATTTTTATTTCTTTTGAGAAGTGTCTATGTAGCTATCTTGCCCATTTATCTATGTAGGCATTTTGCTGCTGTTAAGCTTCTTGAGTTCTTTATATATTCTTTGTTGGGAGCGCACCTGGAAAAGATTTTTTCCCTTCTGTAGGTTTCTCCTCCATTCTGTTGTTTTCTTTGCTGTGCAGAATCTTTTTAATTTGATGATAATTTCCTGCTAATCAGGATCAGGAACCAAGGATCCAAATGGGTTTGAAATGGTCTCAGGGGAGTTGGGAAAGAGGAAAAAATCTCCCCATCAACATTCTAAGTGATTTATATCTATATCTCTATTTCTATCTATCTCTATCTCTATCTATCTAGTTATCTATCTATCTAGTTATCTATCTATCTAGTTATCTATCTATCTAGTTATCTATCTAGTTATCTATCTATCTAGTTATCTATCTATCTATCTATCATCTATCTATCTATCTATCTATCTATCTATCTATCTATCTATCTTCATAGCATTCCAGAAATGTAGGCTAAGTATTTTCACCTATTAAAATAACACGCCATCTTATCCTTATGTGCATATTAGAATAGCTAAAATAAAGATATTTACAATACCACATGCTAGCAAGCATACAGAGCAGGTGGAGCACTCATACACTCCTACAGAAAAGGCAAAATGGTACAGCTCCTTTTTGAAACAGTTTGGCAGTTTCTTATAAACCCACACCACATAATTCAGCAATCCTGTCATCTAGTATTTACACAAGAAAAGTACCAACTTAAACATCCAGGCAAGAACCCACAAAGGGGTGCTTGTCCTGGATTTATTCACAATTGCAATGATTCAAATGTCCATTAACATCTACGGCCATACCACCCTGAAGTGCCCGATCGCATCAGATGTCCATTAACTAGTGAATGGATTAGCAACCTGTTGTGTATCCATACAATGGACAACTCAGCAATGAACAGGAAGTGCACAACACAGAGTGGCAAAATGAATCTCAAATTTATTATGTGAACAAAGTATAAATGTTAATTTTTAAGCTGCTATAACTGACTTAGTCAAAGTCATCCATTTTTAGTGATTTTATTTATTTATTTATTTATTTATTTATTTATTTATTTATTTATCTCAGAGCAGGCTAGATCCAATCTCTTTATTGTCAAGGTCCCCATTCTTTACCATCCCCCTCCAAACTATGGAAAACCCCCAAGCCTAGGAATGTCCTAGGGAAGGGAGGCAGAATGTGAGGAACCCCTTGTGCTCTGCCCTCGGGCCTGGACAGTGCAGACAGGGAGGGTGCATGGGGGAAGGGTAGGCAATAACTCCACCTGCAGAAGATGTGGCACTGGCCTAGGATGCATGGGGGCCAGGAGTGCCTGCTGTAAGCTTTCCTCTTGTACCTGCTACAAGCTGGCATCCAGGGGGTGGGTGCCTGGTGCGAGGACTTGGACAGTGATGCCCTTCTCCTGTTGGTGGCCAGTGCTCCTGCCAGGCTGCTTACTGCAGGGCCCCACCCCCTGTGTCTGTGTCCTGGCTGAGCTCCAGCTCTTCCTTGCTATGCGTCAGCAGCCCCTCATCACTATCATCTCAAGTCTGGGGTTCTTCCTGGGTGGTGCCAGCCTCAGGTGTGTCTTCTGGGGGTGGGGTGGCCTGTTGATGCTGGTGCTGCTGCCACTGTCACTGCCACTTCCACTGCCACTGCTGTTGTCACCTTTCTTCTTGCCATCTGGGTTGGCCTCTTGCTCCTCAGCGATCTGATCCAAGCTGCCCAAGAGAGCATCAGTGTTGGACTTGATCTGGGTCAGTTCTGTCCTGAAGACCTGCAGCTCACTGCTCCTTAAATTGACCTTGGCTGAACCAGTAGTCATGGCTCTGGAATGGGCAGAGTTTGACAGGGATGGCAGTTTTGACATCACAGACCAAAAGAACTGTGACACAGGGTTGTTTCACTGGAACTGCCCTGAGCACTGGCACTGGTGACAGGTGACCTCTATAGTCAAAGAGCCTGTATATGGCAGACACTGCTCTCTTTAGCCTGTTGGGTCTGTTGGGGTTGGGTTCCCTGGCCATGTTGATGTCCAGGATCTGCCCAACCAGCACCCATCCATTCTTTCCCAGCATAGCTGCCCAGGTGTGGTGCTCATTAGAGTACTGACCAAAGGCATATCCTTTGTGCACAGAACAGTAGGCCACATGGCCATATTTGGAAAAGATGGTCTCCACATCTGATTTCTTCACTCCAGCTGTGTTTAGGTTTCCAATGAAGACTTGGGAATTGTTGGTTACACTGCTTGTCTGGATATTCAAAGACATGATGGCCATCAGTACCAAGGTTGAGCTTAGCCAGCTATTTCTTCCTTTGACTTATAGGGTCAACAGCAACTGCCCCTGGGAACAGGGCTTACCCGGGCAGCTTCCCAGAATGGACTCTTCCTATCCCTGGAGCCTGGCTTATTTATTTATTTATTTATTTATTTATTTATTTATTTAAATGTATTTGGTACAGGATCTCACTATGCAGCTTGAACTCATAGTGATCCTCCTGTTTTCAACCTCCCTAGCACTGGGATTATAGGTGTGCACCACCATGCCTGGTCTCTGTTGCCAGCTCAGTGTGCCTGGGGGCAGGGCTGGTGTGGCATGTGGTGCCAATGATTGAACTCTGGTCTCTGCATTTGCCTAAGAAGGTGCTTGGTCTGCTGAGATATCTTTCTGGCCCTTTATCCACTTTTCAAATGGATGAGGTACAAGTAGTTCATGTTGACATAGTGAGTTGATGATGGAACCTGAACTTTAGACAAATTCTCTTTATCTTTTGTGACACTGTCATTTCTTCATCAACTTTGTGCCAATGAATTCCAGGTTTATTCTGGTTCTGCAGCACCATAGCCACCCCCTCATACAACTCCCGAATCATGTTCACTTAATTCCATGAGATCTATGTCATATATAACTAGTGAAGCCGCTCCAATCAAGATGGATTTATTTTGTGCTACATTTGCCAGTTTTAGCAAATAAAAACACAGGTTGAAGAGGAAAATTTGAATGAACAACAACTAATTTTTAATATAACTATATTTATTATATTGCATGAGATACATATACTAAAAATTAACACTAGGAGCTGGGGACATAGCCCAGTGGCACAGCACCTGCCTAGCAAGTGTGAGTTTAATTCTTTGTACTAAAAAATAATTATCATTAAACATCTTCTATTATGTTTGAAAATTCTGGTAATCTGTATTTCCTCTCCACATCTATTCTAGGTGCTCTGTTTTCTAATGTCTATAGGCTTGTTTGACAAAATAACTTTAAAAAGACTGGGTTTATTAGTATAACCAGGCTAAACTGCAAACCAAAAGGATACCTTGATCATAAGAATTTTAGGCACCATAGACATCTTTTAGAGGAATGAAGTAATGACATTCACAGTCTCAAAGCTAAAAAAAAAAATGGGTACTATTTTTGGTGTTCATGATCTTATAATTCACCTCTTGTCTAAAATATATTAAGCATGGATTATATACCAGTTACCATGCTTTAGTGCAATAGTTCAACTAATTCTCATGTCTATGAGGTAGATGTTATTATTTACTTTATGAAAAATGATGGCTTAGTGAGGTTATGAGACTGTGCCAAAATCACATAGCTGGGTGGATTTTTCTTGATCCAGAAAGTGAACTCAGCTCTAACTCAAACTCCAAGTTTTCTACCATTCTACAGTACTGCACTAAATTTTCACTCTGTCTCACTTTAATCCCTATGATATCAACAACTCTACCAGGTTAGTTGCATTATTTCATTTTCCAGATAAGAAAACTAAGGATCTAAGGTAAGTGACCAGGTTAAGACCAAAACCAAGATCATTGGTCTGGGATTATAATTTCCATGCTGAAAAGCCCAGGTACTACTGTAACATTTGAGGAGAATATAGTATTAGAATTCTGGGGAAAAAAAGTGGTAGAAGACTAAATTGCTACACATGTTTACTGCTAGTCAATCACGTAAGTATGGTTTTAGGATGTTGGGTCTGGCTCCTGGTCAGGGAACGCAAGATGTTACTGTTGGAGGACAAACGCTATGGTGCTGCCATCCTAGCAGTCCATTGGGATCTTAAGTCCAGATAAAAATTAGAGGAAGAAAAGTTTAACAAAGGGAAGACATTTTACTTGCAAAGAGGGAAAGGAAGGGAGTGGAAAGAGAAGATAGATAGTTATCCCACTAAGAAACAGAGTAAAGGGCGCTGGAAAGATGGAGAACCTGTGGGTCCTTTGTTCCCAGTTGCTTTTGTGGGGATGGGGTTAAGTGACTCCATCCATCCTCACAGCTTGCCAAAACTGGATTATTTTCTGGGCACCTCTGTTTACATCATTTCTTCTGGTGCTCACATGCAACTGTTAAAAAAGAAAGTTGTCCTTGGCACCCTTTTAAAACTTTATGTTTGGGATGGGTGGCTAGTTGGCAAGGGGTAGCTTATACATGGTTAGCAGAGTTGGTAAGTGTGTGTGTGGATATCTACTATACTCTATAATGATCCTAGAGTGAATAATAAAGTGACTCTAGAGTGAACACACACAAACACACACACACACACACATATTAGTGCATAGGTGTGAGTACATTCTGTATTAGAGTTACTCCCCACCATTTGCTTTCCCTGTATTTCATTGGAGGTGGGGGTGGATTATCATTCATTTGTGCACTTAGCTTTCTCTCTGGGTCTTGCTTGTCAGCTTTTTAAATTTATTTATTTTTTTGTCTCTTGGTACAAGTCCCAAGGCTGTCTTGTGTCTTCCTTTATCTGGTTTTTCTGTTTTTCTACCCACATTGTGACCTGGTTCTTAGGGAAATTTCTCTAGTAAACTTTGTTTTTAACTCCTTAGTGTCAGGATTAGCTAGACGACCTAATGAGGCTCCTGCATAGTCCTGATCCTACAAGAAGCTCTGCACAAGGCTACTCAAGATATTTTCTTAGCTTTCTTAGTGTCTGGAGTGCCACCAATATAGATTGCATGCATATATTGGCAAAATGATTTCTCCTTGTGCCTTTCTTCCCAACTTTCTCTCATCCTTCTCACTGTTTTTGAAATTTATTTACTCCAAGCTGGACATTATTAATTCTTCGTCTTACACCAAAAAGTACAATGGATCATGGCCCTGTGAAAGAAGGGTGCTTAAGTGAGTGGAGGAAGACTGTTTGCTGGGTTGTCTGGAGATATCATAGGATTCTAGGATTGGATAGCCCCAGAAGGAGTAAGAGGAATCACTTTATTAACTCAAGATCATCTAGGATAATTCTGGTTTTAGGCTTTAGTAGGGTCTGACCAGGCCCTCCAGAAAATTTTAGACTATCTGTTTCTCTCTTCAGTCGGGCAAATAAAAAGTACTCACTAATGTCTGAGCTTGCTGCAAGATTCGCTGTGAGCAAAAGAACTCTGAAACTGTTCCTCCCAAATCCCTGTGATCATTCAAGCATGACCTCTTACCCAGGAGCAATACAACAGGCAAGAGTCTGTGTAGGACTGTGCAGCAGTGGCAGCTCCTTGGAATGAAGTTTCTGGCAAATCCCTCCCCTAGTTTGGACCTCAGTTTTCCCATCGGTGAGCTGAGGGGATCTAGAGAATTCTCTTTGCACACACTTTGCATCTTTTTCTGGATTGTGCTTAACTCCTGTCCCTTGTTTCCCATACAGGCACCTTCTGCTCTGCCGCCTCACCTTCTCCTGGATGAATATAATTTTGCTGATGCTTCTTTCCCTTTCTTTGGAGCAGACTGTGGCATCATATGGCAAGCAAGTAAAACGTGGGTTCAGAAAAGCTGTAGCCATTTTTGTTTGGAAGTGTTCTTGGGGACTGAGTATTAGATATGGGGCAAGGGTGAGAGTCAGGCAAAGCCACCATTGCTGTGGATTAAAGGTCACTTAAAGCTACCCATCCTTACTACCTTGAGTGTTCCAAGTCTTTCTCTTGCATGTTCCTCCCAAATCATTTCCCTAGCTTTCCCCACAATGTGTCTTTCAGGTTTAAGTTTTAAAAAAATTGACGAATCACCAAGCATGAGTGTGAGCAGAGGGGATCTGGGAAGAAATCATTGTAATAGTTGAGAAGAGAGATGAGATGCGGAAAGGTGTAGGTCTGAGGGAGAAGTGGTAAAGAAGGAGAGAAGATGGGGTTTGGGATAGAATATCAGTTTGAGTGAGAGAGTCAAAAGATACTCTTAGTGAAAATCCAAGATAGGATGCTAGGCTGTTGGAGAAGGGAGAAATAATCTCTGGATTCTAGCAACAAAAAGAAATGATTGATATCAAATATCAAATATCAAGATAGTGAACATAGAATAAGACCCTGTAACAACCATACACTTTAAAAAGTAATAGTAGGTATTGGGTATTTGTCTTGAGTTCACAAGACATAGGGTTCTGGCCTCCTATTCTATGTGTTTTCTACTGCTCCTTACCAATTTCCCCCATTGACCAAGATACAGATGTAGAAAAATTAAGTGTCAAGATATTTTGTTTCCAGTAGACAGAGGAGCTCCTTAATTTAATGAAGGGATTTTGGTCCTTACTTAATTCTCTACTTTGGAATCCGAGTCATTTTCTTTTCTTTTTTTAAAAAAAAATGTATTTAGTACAGAGTCTACAGGGTCTCACTATACAGATTGGATTCATATTGATTCTTCTGTTTTCAGCCTCCCAAGTGCTGGGATTACAGGTGCGCACCACCACGCCCAGTCTCAATTGCGTGCCCCAGGGGCGGGGCTGGCACAGCATGCCTGGGATCGAACCCCGGCCACTGTGCTCTGCCTAAGCAGGTACTTTAGTCTGCTGAGCTATCTGGTTGGCTCCTGAGGAATTTTTTGTTGCTACCTGGGCACAGATTCCTTAAACAGATCTGTATAAATGGGCCACAATTGGTGAGATGGATGTGGCCCCTGAGTATATAAGCAGAGCAAGTGTTGAGAATTAAAGGTAAAAGGTAGGACTGAAAGATTTTCACTACTGTGCTCTAGGAGAAGAACTGGAATTCTCACGAAATGTGAGTTTGGGCATTTTCTTCTTGCAGAGAAACCAGGAGTGTGCCCCAAAGAGAGGATGAACTGTAGCACTACCGATTGGAAAGTGTGCCGAACAGATTCTGACTGTGACTATTTCCTGAAGTGCTGTCTTTTTGCCTGTGAGAGCAAATGCATGGATCCATACCGAGGTAGTGGCATCTAGGCTGAGGATAGAGGCGACACCCAAGGTTTTGCTTCTTTCTCTTTGCAGTCTTGGCTGAATACCTCTCTTGAATGTTAGGACTGGGAGGCCAGAGCCCTTGATTTTTACATTCTCCAATTTAACTCTCCACCCTCAAGTATAAACCACATGTCTAGGCCTGTTGAACATAAACCAGATAATATTGATGCTAGTTTTTGTGGTCCAACATTTACTCCTTCTCAATGAATCCCCTTTGCATGCTCACTATGTGTCAAGAGATGGTTGTGAGTGCTGTGGGAAAATCAAACCCCAGGCAGTTTATGTGGTGAGGTCATGTTGGTACTCTGTTCTTAAGAAGGTTTACTCATAACAGTAAGTGTTGGCCATCCAATATGTATAAAGAACTGTGCATTTTATAGAGATTCACTTGTCCATTTATTCATTTAACAAGTAGCTATTACCAGTGTCCTTTAGCTAAAAGCAACCAGGGACACACATGCAGGTGGACAAGGGGAGCTTAGTACTCATTCTGCTAGAGGCAGAATTTTTTGCACTGACAACCACGAGGCATCTCAGAATGAAGCTGCTAAAATCTATTAAATGATATGGCTTTGAGGAATTGGGGCAAGTTTATAAAGAAGTGGGGTTTGTCTTAGAGTAAATACTGTTAGGAAAAAAAGACAATTCTATGGCTGAATATCTCAGCGAATCCTATTTACAGAGAGAGCACATAGAGTAAAGACAAAACTATAACAGAAAAGGCCTGCACTGAGGTCAGCTGGGAGAGAGAGCCTTCCTTCCTTCCTTCCTTCCTTCCTTCCTTCCTTCCTTCCTTCCTTCCTTCCTTCCTTCCTCTTCCTTCCTTCCTTATTTCCTTCCTTCCTTTCTTCTCCCCCTCCTTCTTTCTTCTCTGCCTCCTTTCCCTTCTTCCTTTTCCTCTCTCTTCCTCTTCCTCCTCCTCCTTGTCCTTGTCCTCGTCCTCGTCCTCGTCCTCCTCCTCCTCCTCCTC